AAACTAAGTAAGGTTCGATCTACTGTATGAAATAAAATCTGTAGTATATTGTTCGAATTCTATTTAAAATTTATATATAAGTGGATTTTCATATTTAGATAATGTTTTCAGAAAAATATTAAGCTTTTATATTCTTCGTTCAAAAATAATAATAATAATAATAATTTAATAATAAAATAATGATTTAAGATAATCAAATTATCTTGTTAAAAAGGAAAAAAAGAACAACGACGTCGTTTTATATCATTTTAGTTTGGAAAGACAAAAGGAGAATTGTGTCTAATAAAATAATAATTTAAGATAATCAAATTGTCTTGTTATAAAAGAGAAAAAAAAGAAGGAGAACAACGACGTCGTTTTATATAGTTCCAGTCTGAAAGGATAAAAAGGAAATTATGTCTAATAAAATAATGATTTAAGATAATCAAATTGTCTTGTTATAAAAGAGAAAAAAAAAAAACAAGAACAACGACGTCGTTTTATATAGTTCAAGTCTGGAAGGACAAAAGAGGAATTGTGTATAATAAAATAATGATTTAAGATAATTAAATTATCTTGTTAAAAAGGAGACAAAAAAAAAAACGACGGCGTTTTATATAATTTCAGTTCGGAAGGACAAACTGGGAATTGTGTCTTCTTCGCCCCCTCCTCCTCTGTGTTTTGTTTTTTGGATAACAGCGGCTCAGGGAGAGTCGCAGAGTTTTACACTAGAAAATCTCACCCCACTTTCGTTTCAGATAATAGAGGTGAGATAGAGATGGCAAGTGCAGTGCACTGCTTATCTTCTTGCTTGACCCTCAATTCTAAGCTCAGAAGCCTTTCACTCAAGTGCTCATCATCATCTTCATCTTCTACTTCTAGTTTGCCGGGTTTCAATTCTTGTCGCTCCCTCAGTTTCTCCACAAGTATATCTAACAATGTCTTCTCCAAAGGTGGTTTCTCTCTCTCTCTCTCTCTCGGTTCATGTTCTATCTCCTTATAATAGTTTATTATGCGGATTTCTGCATAAATGCGTGAAGTATCTCAGTTCTTTGTTGTCTTCTTGTTGATTTCACGGGCAATTACCATATTTATGTAGCCGGAAATTGGGGCAGAGAACTGTTAATTTGACGTTTCATTTTCCGGGTTCTTGTAGAAATTTGGAGTCCTAAACCCAGGATTAAGTCTTTATATTATCCGCATTTGTTTGGGTGGGGTTGAGTTGGGGAATGAGCGATGTTCATTATGGCTCTTATCAATTTGGTGTTTGAAAATGAAGAGTTCAAAATTCTAGTGGAGCTTGTTGGGAATTTGGATTATGATCTTTTGTGAATTTCAGGCAGCTTATCTATGAGCAGAATTCGAAGGCCAACCGGTCACTCTGTTGTTTGCGAGGCGGCTCCAAAGAAAAAGGCCGATTCAGCTGCAAAGCGAGCTCGACAAGCTGAGAAAAGGCGCATTTATAACAAAGCTCACAAATCTGAAATTAGAACACGGATGAAGAAGGTAACCACTTTCTTAAAAAAACAAAATTGATATTTACAATAATGGGGTCTGCTTAGATACCTTCCATTTTGTTTATTGTTGTGGGTAAAATATTGATATCAATTGTATTGAGTATGAAATTTTGTGGTGATTCCATTTGCCATTTTTTCATGCCTTGTTGGTATTTTTGTTTGTTCTCATAAAGACTAGGTTGTTTTTCTGAAGAAATGTTCTTTGTGGATTCTTATTGCTCTTTTCATTCCGTAGAATGTATCAAGTAAAGTTGTCTTTCTTCAAAGTAAGTGTTGCTTTGGGACTACCAAGCAGCCAAATTCATATGATTAAGAAGTATTATCATAAAAAACAAAAAAAAAAATGGTGGGGGTACATATCTTTTATTTACTGGTGAATCTAATTCTCAATCAATATGGATGGGACAATAATACTTGTATCTCCTCCTGTTACATTTGTATACTCTTTCTTCCACACCTCTGGCATGCCAGAAACTTGTCAATGCAATGATCATTTGCATGGAATCTGAAATTAATCATTTTATGCATAATGCATTCATAACTGCATTAACAAAGTGTTTTCAATTTGGTAGCATTTAGCAAGTGTAGTTCGAGATGGTGTTTGACACACAGCATAACCCAAATTGGCAGACAAGTATATGGTCTATTTGGCGCATATGCCAGGCTGACAGATGTTTAATACTGTGATTTCACCTTATAGATGATGTCCAATGGGATCTATAAGCTAATGGCAGACAGTTTGATATCAGCAAATAAAAAATTGAATTGGCTCCTCAAAGTATAACTTGCTCGCAAATAACCTGTACATGTAGCCACTATTAGTAAATGCTTGAAGTAAGTTAGCAAAGAGTCGTTGATTTCAGTTTAAACTGGAAGTACTGGTAAATGCTTGGTTTGCCTATTCAAATATAGATATCATGGTACTTTAATAATCATGTGTTAACTATGTTGAATTCCTTGAAATTTCAGACACTTAAAATAAGGAGGACAGCTGCAATAGGATTATGCTTTTGGAACCGTTTTTTTTTTTTTTTTAAGGAGCCCGTGGAGCTTGGTTAAATGTCTAATCTCTTTAGTAGCCCTTTTGCACAATAAGGACAAAAACATGAGCACAAACTTTAGAAAACTGCAAAAAGTTGCACTTTTTAGAGAATCAAATACTAGGATCTAACTTCAGCTCAGAAGATGAGTTTTGATATGTTGTTTTTTCTCCTTCTGAACTCTGCAGTAGC